AATGCAAAAACAGATAAACTTCTATTAGAGACTGTTATAGGGAAATAACTTTTCTATAACTTTATTTATTGGACGAATGTTAGTTAAAAATGCCAATTCTTTACAAATCTTGCTCAAAATCGGCTGATAATTACTGCGGGACCGATTAACATCCCTATATTAATATAAAATCTATTTTAGTCCGGTCAATTATGGTGTCACTCATTTGTCGATTTATTTTACTTAAAAGTCATTCGTCCATATTAAATACAAGTGACTTTCGATATAAGAAAGGTGGCGGGAGCAATAGTTAAAAGTTTTTTTTTTTTTTTGTGTGTAAGGGATGCAATCACTAGCAAGGCTAACGTGTCACATGTTTATATCGTTTAAACAATAGAAAAATCATCGAAACCGCATAATCTGGACAAATTTGAATATTTAACTAAATAACAAAAATATTTAAATACTCAATGCTCTTTTTGAACTGATATATGTCAACAGAATTTGATTATAAAATACTAAAAAACGGATTTTTTTTTTTTTTTTTTGATAGTAACATTCTATAAAAAGTATTAACATAATCAACTTCCAAAACTGGAGAATTTTACAAATACCGGTATTTAGAGTAAGAAATAGTTAAAAATAATGTATGACAAATCAGCTTGTGTTTCTTGTAAATAGTTTTTTTTTTTTTTTTTTTTTCTAAATTTTTTTTTTGATTTTTTTATCGTTTAATTTTTTCGATAATAAATTTATTCACTTTAATTAATTTGTAATTCGGCAATTGTAGTGATAATTATTTCGTGAAAATTATAATAACAAACCAGTCTTAATTTATCACATCATTAATGTTGAATATGACGTTAATAATGTAAAAATAGATATGAATTGTAGACAATAATAACTCAACAAAAATTTAATTAATTACTTGACAGAAAACTTAGTTATTATTCTAATTTAAATTAAAAATAAATCAACAAAAATTTAATTAAATGTAATAAAATTTGCTTAATTTCTATTCGACCCAATACAATAATGATTACAAGTGGTTTTGATCTTTATTATCATTACAATAAGCATAGCAACCAGCCATATATATAAAATAATCCATATGCAAATTTTCCAAGGAACAATTTTAATTAGAATGCAGTAACAGTATTATATGATAATTATAAATTATTTCTACTTATGTGGGCTCTTTCGTTAATCACGATATTTAATTAAAAGTATTATAAATATGCCTACTAAATTGCTCAATTTACATATCTAAATTTCAATTATTAGAATTGAAATACAATATTTATTGCAAGAGTCTTATTATGTTAAATGAATTCTTTATCGAATGAATGCATCTTCAGTATATTTGAAGTTCTCCTGAATCAGATAATACTCCTGCCCATAATTTCTTTTTTCTTTCTATCATTAAAAAGGAAATTCATAAATTACGAGGCTCAGACCGCACCAAAATCTCAGCGATTCCCAAAAAACAGGTTCAAGGAGAAAATACTAAGGTCTCCCTAAATGAGACAATAGCAAAGCAAGAATCCCTTTTAATAGTAACTAAATAAGAAAACAACATCTATTTATAAAATTCCATACCTTACTCTCAATAAGATTTTTCCAAGATTGCTTTAACTCCTCGCAAATATTGGATCTTCTGCACACAATTTTAAACCAGTACAGTACCTATCAAACATTATAGTCCTTTTGTGCCGTTGTTTATATTATATCCCAATAATTAAGAAAAGAGTAAGATGATGAATGCTGGAATAATCCTCCATAAGTTTACCAACGGGAGGCAATGAAATTATCGTTATCGTTATCGTTATTGCATTTAACGCATCTGAAACCCCTTAATGCATCGGTTTAACGTAACTTGTACTAAGGTTTTGAACGAAGATCGTTTAAAGGTTTTTGCATTTACTGACTTTATATTAAAATTACTATCAGAACAGACTTACAGCTATATTTTTTCTTAATTGACCGTCATAGTGATAGTTGCAAGAATATCAAGAAAGAAACGGTGAACTGGTGCAAACCGTGTAAAATTACATATCGATATAAAATTCCGGTTGACGATCATATAGTTAAAAAATTACGTACATACATCGACAGGTAAGTCAATCAGTTTTTTGATCTGACCAATGACATTAATGTGAATCAGTCAAGTGATCAGTATTATTCTCATTCTGCACTGGTATTTTATTAATTTAACTAAATCCAAGCGAAAAGATGATGTGAAAGTTATTGTAAGTTAAGTAATCTATTTAATATAACATTTTCTCTGCACTGTCACAGAATGAAATTCTATTTATTGACTTCAAAAAAAAAAACGAACGTTTCTTCTTAAATCAAAAAAACTTTGTTATTAGTAAATACTTAGCATTAGCGTTAGTAAAAATTCAATAAAATATATATGTAGTATCTATCACTATTTATATAATAAGGTTCTAATTACAAATTATTTATATATCGTTATAAATTTCTTTATGAAACTTAAGAATAGAGTACGTGAGAAAAGTCTTCCACTTTAATTGCTTTGATAGCTTTACTCCCAGCATTTACGAATTCATTAACTGTACTTACACCAATTTTTTTTATCTAATAATTGTTTAAACGTACGATCTGTTTTGATAAATTCATCGTATCTTTCTCAGATTTTTTTATATTGCCCTAAACTGAATTTCCTTTCTTTGGTTTCTATTTGTGTCAAAAGGAAGTCAGCAAATTCTTCTTGGCATTTAAACTCCATGTCAAATTCGTCGGTTATTTGTTCAGGTAAATCTGCGTTGATTGGATCAAATAAGTTCTTGAAATATGAAATTATATTTTTTTTATCATCCTTATGAAGAATGACATGTTTCGGTATATCGACATCTAAATACGTAAAAATGTAAATTTAAAAAACTGAATATAAATACTCAAAATTTTAAAAATTTTACCAGAATTATCCTCTCCTTCTATGCTCCTATTTTTATAATCATTAAGTTCAAACAATCGCTCTAACAAATATAGGATGTATTAGATCATGCAAGATAATAGAGCAAGAGTAATATATAATACCATCATATTTTCGTTTTAATTCTAATTTACAAAGTATATAAAGAAGTTAATTACATTAATTTAATCATATATAATTATATACCATCATATCTTTGCTTCATTTCGGAAACCTCAGGAATTACTATGCAGTTCAGAGTGTTAATATCATAAATTGAGGTAATAGTACTGATATTAAATATTTTAAATAATTTACATACTCCCTTCATTTGAAAAGACCCAACCATCTTCATACTTAAATTTTTTACTTCCAATAATACCATAAGGACTTCCTCCATCTTCAAAAACATGAAAAATTTTATTGTCAAGTTTCTTTATTAATTCGCGCGCAGTTGCTAAAGCACGTTTTTCCTTTGCAGACAAATTCATGTTTGATAGCGATAGGAAAAAAGAATTTACAGACTTTAATTAATATTCAATATTTGATAACCAAACAATTTAGGAATTAGGCTCAACTTCTCACGTTGAGCTCAACCTTTTTCAGTAACAGTGCAGATCGATATTGGATAAACTAAAAACTTTAATTTATAATACTGTAGAAACTCGAGCAGTTTCCTATTGATAATGGTTCTTAAAGGTCGTGCAATCCAATTTGTGTCTTTTATTTTCTCGCAATATTCACATGGTTCCTCGCGATTTTACCTGCCACATATTACTTTATTTCATTTCCAGAAATGACAGAGAATGTAAAATATTTAAAAATTATGATGAAGTTTTTTTTTGTCAAGATCTGTGTTTCTTTTCGGCATAATTATTTAGACTGATTTTAGAACACGAAAAAGTTAAAAGAAATAAAGAAAAGCTAAAAGGTTCCTCAAAAATTCCGGGTATAATCATTAAAACTCCGAGTATAGTAGTCTTTAAGGTTAGGGATGTAATTTACGTAATTTTGCGGTAAGTTTCGTAATAGATCGAAATTTTTGGTTATCAAATGATGCACGTATGAAAATTAAAAAATGGTGTCATGTAATAAAGTATATTATTAAAAATATACAATTATATGTAAAATTTAGTGATAAATCTTTTTACTTAATTTTTAAATCATGTTATCATAAGTTTTTTTTTTGCTTTTATCAGAGTTACGAATTTATTCAACCAAAATTATGCTTAATTATCAAAGTAAAAGCCAGAATCCCAAAATCAACACTGTACTTGAATTTAGCAAATAGATAGGGTAGAATTAATTCGTAACTCTGGAAACATCACTCGTTATCCTCTTTAAATTTGACTTTTGAACATTTCTGAGTTACTGCTTATATCTTTTTTTTATCATATGGCTTTATCGTATGTTTGTAATCACAAAATCAATTATCAGTGAATAAGTAAATTTAATAATTCAACTGTAAATAATATTTTTATTTTGTTTCTTATAACAATTAATCAAAGAAATTATTGCTAATATACACTTACTCATCTCACAATATAAATTCTTCGAATTTAAGAGTGAATTAATGTTCAGTTGCAATTTCATAAACCAGTATTGTTAAGGATCTTACAAACATAAATATATATTTTATATAATATCTATTGTTTTCAGATTTCGGATCACAATTAATCATCAAAGTAAGTAGTATTGTTGCGCAATAACTCATTCGCAATATTAATTCTTCGAATTTAATACTAATTGTGACCATAAAAAAAAGGGGATTGTGTTTATGTTTAATTAAAATTTTAATTTGTATAAATTTAAAAAAAATACTGATTTTTTTATATTTAACGTTGTGAAATGAGATTGAAATAAAATTTCTCCATCGCCAATAAAGTTTAATAGACCTGCAAATGGTGCTCTGAATGAAACCAATGGATACTAGTTTATTGTGCTCCATTTACGTCAGTCCAATATGGAATACTCTATTAGATTAATTAAAGCTATAAATACTGTCGCAAGTTCTGTATGGTGTTCAAATATCCAAGTATTACGTGTTTTAAGAATAGATAAACACTTTTCTACCAGTTGTTCGAATGATTCCTTTATGATAATATTCCCAATATTGACAGTATGGACAAATTTTCACCTGTCCAACACAATCACATCTCATCAATTTGAGATCGCATTAGTCTTGCAATTGAATTGGCGTTATATGATTTCAATTTTTCGATTTTATCCTCGCCAATTTGATTAAATGTTCATTGTTGTGATGAAAATTCTATTATTCAATGTTGGATGAAAAGCGGCGAGGAATCGAACATTGCAATTACATAAAAATTTTTTAATTGATAATGAATTTTTCAACAAGTCATTGTCGCACATTCGCTTATTCTGCGAAATTCTGTGATAATAAAGTTAGTTTTTGTGTAATTCTGTTGATTTTTGCAGTTAGCTGTTTTTTAGTTTTACTAGTTGTCTTGGCATTCGTAATATGTTACTGTTAAAATTACAAAATTAAAATTTTTTCCCCTCTTTTGCTGCAATTTATTTATTTCTACTCGTTCATCCTTGGCGGGGAAATTTTTTCCCATATCATATATTCTTCAGAAACCTTATTTTTCTGTTTTTATCTATTGGCCGGCCGGTTGAGCTGAGATTGCTTAGTCCAAGCCTGTTAACCCGCTATATCTTACAAATAATCAACTTAACGCTGAAGGTGGAAACGTATTAACGGAAGCTATTTATAATTTGACTTGGTCGTCACTTTTTAAATTTTAATATGAGACTGTAATCTTGGAGATTGTTATGAATGTTGAAAAGGATGAACATAAAGCACCCATTTATATCAAAAATCTGATGTACAGATTGTGTAGAAGAAACAGTAATCTGAGTATATTAATCCGCTTGAAATAGTTTGTCAGGTCATTTTCAGGCAATTCATTTAACAACAACACTGATTTATATAGAGATTTTTGTTATTTTAAAATCCGGATTCTTGCACTATTGTTTCCCATATTACTATAACAATAGTATTTTTTTTCGTAAAGTCCGTTTTTTTTTATGAATATATTAACATTAACTTTCCAATCACGATTGTAGCACCTTTATTATCACAAATGCTATGAAATTGGTTAGATTGAAAATTTCCATCACTTTTTACATTTTTTTCTTAATAACAAAATAAATTTGTAGTTGTAAAATTTGTTGTTTCTTCTCTATCTATCCATTCTCTGTAATTCTATTGATAAATTGGATGTGATTCATTTTAATACAAGTACAATTTCATTCACATCTAATTATATAAATTTCTCTTGAACTGTCATTTTAACCGCGGCTAAATATAATATAAATTAAGTCAAATATGAATTAATTATCTCCTTATCTCCTTATGTGAATATGATAAAATTAATCAAACAAAGCTTTTTTGAAACAGCGAACGACCTTTCTTCGCGTATATTTATGTAACATATCAGCACTATATCATAAAAATGTATACCTTAACTAGGAGTTTCATTTTGAAGCTTTGTAAAATAAGGTTAACGAATAACCACCGCTACGCTCGTTTATTAGAAAAACCTTTTGCAATAACGCGCGTATAATTGTAACGGATCAGATAATCCAAAAAAATGTAAATTTCGTAATTAGGCTGCATCCACAATTTACGTTAAACTAGTATTGTTATGGGATCTTAAAGAAAATACAAACATAATACTATGGTATTACCGGAAAATTACGTTATTTTGCAAATTGCCTGAATATTAATTGTACAAATTGTACATGTGAAATAATGATGGGTGACGCATGACGAAACCATTTCGTCAGGCAACTTCGAATTGGCGGAATGACGCATGTCGCAACTCATGACGCATCACGCGACGCATGACACAACTCATGACAAATAACACAACTTATGACTAAATTTAGCCGAACTGGGGAAACATGGTTAACGCAGTAGAGAAATTATAGTTATAAAGACATAAAAATATTAGCAGATTCAGTGTTTTGTTTCGCTTTGAAAATCGCAAATTCAAATTTGATTTAGTTAATGTATCATATGATCTCACGGAAAGTATAAAAATTTTTAAATCATGTGATCATACACTCTAATATGTATCAACTTAATTTAAATAATTTGAAATTATCAATTGATAATTTATCGTTATATTATAATTAACTCTCGTTATAATCACACAATAAACTATTACTATGTTTCTCTCACTATAGTCACTTTGATTTTCTGCCAGACTCTGTGACTATAGCGGGAGTGGACTGTAGCATTTAAATTTTAATTATTAATATTATATTATAAATTAAATTAACTTCATTAAAATCAAAAGAAGTCAGTATTTTTGTTCGATAAAAATAATAGTTGTAGGAATGAACAAAGTTCACGAAAACAACAAAGGATGGGATGGTTAATTCTGTGAAGTGTTCATGTTCCAACTGCACAACAATTGATTAGTTGGTGTCTAAAAAGTTCAATGCACTCATCCTATTAGGAATTAAAATAAAATAAACAAATAAATTAAGTAAATATGAATGACAACTAACAAAATAATATTTTACCTTTTCTCCTTTTCCAATTCTGCTCTCAAATATAAACAATTTTGATTTAAACGATTGATTTCATCGAGAAGCATATTCTCTTTTCTTAAAGAATTCTCAATATGCGAAACAGCTTTACAAAAATTGACAATGAGTGAGTTCTGCGAATGTTTCATTGTTAGATTGTACCAATAAAATAAAAACTGTGATCACCTTTCTGAATTAAACCAGCTTTGCTCATCTTGCGACCTGTATTAGTGTACGGGAGCTGTTTACTGAGTTTCGCAAAAGCATCATTGATTTCCTTGCGTCGTTTTTGCTCTGATTTAATGTGCATTTTACGTTTAAACTCAGCATGTGACAGCGTTGTGCTATGATCAAAAATAAAATCAATTCAGCATTTTTCTTCAGTGGTGTAAAAAACAAATTTATTCTAGCGTATTCATGTATTGTACCATACCTGCTTTTATCATCAATATCAACTCCATCTACGGAGGAATTATCGAATTGCTGCTCATCACGTGGTAAGATTTGACTGTCACATTGTTTTAAATACATATCTTTGTTATAATGAACAAATTGAATGTCCGATTCATGCTCTAAAGGAATGTTATACAAGTAATGAAATTATATGTGAATTGAATTGAGAAAATTATGTTTCGTGCATAATGTTAAGGAAAAAATAATAATGAAATTGCGGGTGAATTAAATGGAGAAAATTGTGTTTCGCGCATATTGTTAAGGAAAAAATATTTAAGGTGATAGTCAATTTAAAACTTATAACAGCTTATAATGTTGAAGCAACAATTATATGAACCGAAAAGTATGCAATAAAATTATTTATTATTTAGATTTCTTTTAAATATCCGCCGAGTGTTCTAGTAGAGCACATTTAACATATAAACAAAAAAATTATACCTGAGTTTAGGGATGAGGAGGTTTGAGTGACAATAAAGAATATTCTATCTGAGTCTAGATACTCTTGTGTTTGGCAATTCTGCATGTTCTCAAGGTCTTTCTATAAAAGATAGAAAGATCCTTTAAGCAAATGTGGGGAACCTTAAATATTTATTTTAATGATATTTATACAATCGTGAATATATAAAGGTTACAAAAATTTTAGTCTACTGCAACTATTTCAATTACTTTCAATAATTATTAGCGATCTTAATTGAACTCTAATTATAAAAAGGATTGATAGTCGCAACCTCAAAAAAGGCTTAAATTTATAATGGTTGATGATGTAGTGATGTGAGTAATGCGAACAATAAACTATTAGTTAACTTAATTAATAGAAATAAACTAGGGATTTTAAAAGAAGATAGCATTTATCAGAATTGAACTCCTGATTAATATCTAGAAACTTGAAAAAATAAGTAGATTAATTTTAAAGATTTGTCACTTTATATTAAACCTACATAGTAATACGTATGTGCAATTTTTTAAATATTCATTTGTGTATCAGTATTAAATAGAAATGCGAAGGATGATTTTAGGCCCAAATTAAGGTTGATTTGGAATGAAACCATCCAATAGAATTGCATACTTAATCTCTAAAAGTAAAAATATCGCAAAATTTTATTAAGGTTGGACAAATTAGTTTGGGACATAAATTTATGTGACAACTTAAACTGATTAAACTGCTGCAGACCATAAAAAGAGAAAAATAATGATTAAACGTTAATTTAAACTTGCAGAAATGAATATTCATTAAAAATCTGCCGATTTTGATTTTGGGCCTTTTTTGGACCAAAAGTTACACAAATTTTTTGTTCCACAAACGAATCACTTGTAAACAACTAAAAGGAGCTTTTTAGCCTATAGAATGAGGCTTTCTTAGTATTTTTCGGCTTCACCACGAAATTAATAAGTACGTATTAATACTAAAATTTTTTAAATTAAACCAAGCCATTTAATTAAACAGCGTTTTACAATTTACATAAATTTAAAACATCGATCTAATTTTTTTTCAGTATATGCTAATGTAGAATTGTATTGTAAATGTAACTTTAGGATTAATCTAATTCTAATTTGTCGAAAAATACGAAAAGCGTCATTTCTTTATTTATTAAAGTATTGCTGTTTCAATTTGAATGAATAAACCTTTAATTGGATCATAATCAACATTGTGCGCTAGTTTTGGCCATTATTTAGTCAATTTTTATTTATTTTTTATTACTCATCTTTTATCAATATTAATATATTTGAAATAAGATTTCTTCTTTATTTTGAATTAATAATAAAAATGATAAATAATAAAATTACAATATTTCCCAAAAAAAATTTTTTTTAACTAAAGAAAATGTTGAATTAATATTTATAAAAAAAAATGATTAAATAAACAATAAGTTACAATTATCTAGTATTTCTTGTCATGCAGTAATAAAATCCAAGCTTTGAATGTAATATAAAGAAACAAATGATGCGAACCGAACATTGTACGGTTAATATTTAGTTATCTATAAACTATGGTTAGCATCACTATCGGAATCTATAAAATTACAGCCAAACAAAGATAGATTAAATAACTGGATTTAATAAATTTACTAATTTTGGAGCAATAAGTTTGGATTTGGGGCCTCTTTTTTTATTCAATTTAACATATATGCATTCATGATTATGCCGTTTACAATTCGCGCATATTGACTCGCCAGAACACTTTGCTTTTTTGACTCGACAGTTGGTACAAGCTAATTTAACATAAGTAGAGCGTGTTTTCTTTAGAATTTCTGATTTAGCACTGTTGATATTGGATTGAGAGGTTTCCATATGCGATTTGCAGTATGGGTAGGTTATAAGACATGTCGTAATGTGGATTAGAAATAATTTGTATTCTTTATTAGTTACGTTTCAAATCTTTATGTTTGTGATGCTTTCTACTTTGAAATGAGTTATATTTATATATTTCTTACAATATTAAAAAAATCCCTTATCGCTATAGCACAATACTGTAACAGAATTGAATTTCATTTGATTTCGGAATAAAATTCCATCGTCGGAAAAAATTGCGATTTTAGAATTTTTCAATGCAGTGAATAATAGAAATCGAGCAAGTTTTTTTTTGTAAATTTTCGAAAAACTTTAAATCAAAATAACTTAACAAAAACTTTTTTAAATTAATTCTATAAGTAAAAATTAATTTTTTATGATTTACTATAGGAAACTTAACCAGTATCCTAGTACTAAATGTTTACAAACATTCTTCCCAATATATTCAAAATCATATTTTCATTTTTAATTTTTAATTCTATCCTAATAATTTTTACTAGAATACGAATTTACTACTATCAAAAAATTATGTTTACCAGAGTTACGAATTAATTCTACCAATGTTTTCCAGAGTTACGAATTAATTCTACCAAAATTATGTTTACCAGAGTTACGAATTAAAAAGGAACAGTCAGTCTAAAATATTTGATTTTCCAGGAGTCATACTTGATAATTCAAGTAAAATTAAATGTAATTTTGGATATGATTCCAGGCAAAATTAAGGCAAATTAAGTATAAACCCAGGCAAATAAGTATATAATTAAAAGTGAAATTCTATTTTGACCCAAGTCAAAGCAGAACTTTAGTATTAGTGCGGGCCAGAATTAGGGATAGTGTGGGCCGGAATTATGTTGATGCAGGCCAGGTTCTATAATATAAAGTCTAAAGTGGGCTAGCTTTAAGATTTTCTTGCCATCATCAGATTAGTGTAAATACATAGTTACATATTTCTATAATTTAAAATAAATTAAATTGCATTCCTGCAAAAGTATTAGTGTGGTTGGAATTATGTTAATGCAGGCCAGGTTTTTTTAATATAAAGTCTAAAGTGGGCTAGCCTTAAGATTTTCTTGCTAACATATTTCCCGGTCAAAGTATAATTTAAAATAAATTAAAATATTTTATATTAAAGATTTGTTTATCAATTGTATTATTTTAAAAATTCAATCGCTCGCTTTTTTTAAATTGCATTCCTGCAAATTATTTTAATGATTCTTGTTTATCAATTGTATTATTTTTAAAAATTCAATCACTTTTTTTAAATTGCATTCCTGGGAATTATTTAAATTAAGTTCATAATTTTAAAATAATACAAATGACGTTATGGATTGATTGTTGTCTAGCAAAAGTAGATAAAATAAATAATCTATGGGAAATTTTAAACCTATAAATTATTTATATTATCTGTTCACCTTGCAAAACCAACTGTTGCAACAACCCTCATATTGTTTAAATTTAAATCTAAAATTCATTCAATTGTATATTACTTAATACTGGAAAATGTCAAATGCTTCTAGCTATGAAAGCGATTTAGAAAATTCTTTCGTACTAAATGCTAATTTAGATGCTTTAAAAAAGTCAGCATCAAATGTGTTTCAAGTACAATGTACCTCTATACAAGAGTTTAACGAAGGTGGATTTCATAAAGTATATATCTTAAAGATGGAAGATGGTAAAGAATATATTGGAAGATTAGCAATCTCTATATATCCACAATGGAAGACAGAAAGTGAGGTGGCAGTTATGGAGTATATTCGTTTAAATACGCATATCCCTGTTCCCAAAGTTTATTATTGGAATAGTTCTGTCAATAATCCGGTAGGAACAGAATATATTTTAATGGAGTATTTACCTGGTATTCGTCTTTGTGATATATGGAGTAACCTCAAAATAAAAAAAAAGAAAAAATTTTTTTTAAAAATTATTGACATTCAATTGGCACTTAAAAAACTTACGTTTTCAAAAATTGGCAGCATTTTTTTCGATGGTAAAAATGATCAATTTAAAATTGGTCAAGTGATTGAAAGTATCTTTTTTACTGGTGAGCGAGCAACTTTACCCACTATGGAACGCGGTCTTTTCAAAACAACAAAGGAATATATCTTGGCAGTTATTCGAAATCAGATGCATTACTATAGCATGTTTAAATCTACAAATAAGCAAAAGAGTTTGATTCCAAAATATGAAGAACTATATCAACTGGTACCAAAATATTTTCAGGATGATGGAAATGACACGTTTGTATTAACGCATATTGACTTTCACATGTCAAACATTCTTGTCAAGAATGATGAAATAACAGGAGTCATAGATTGGGAATGTTCTGGTGCGTTTCCAGTGGAGTGTTTATGTACTTATCCAGTATGGATAACTAACAATCCTATGATAGAACAAACTAACAAAAAGTTTAGGGAAAATAAAATATTACAACAATTTTTTCAAGATGAAATGTCTCGTCGTGACCCTGATTTTATTCGAACAATGGACAATATAGATGAAGAAAAAAAAGAATTTTATTCCACAGTGTTTAGCCAAGAAATATGAAAAATAGATGATTTTTTAAATAAATTCAGAATAAAGTAATTTTCATTTTATAAATAGTAGAGTTATTAACCAAATTTATCCTTAATATTGCCCGGGATTACTTATAATTTGCCCAGAATTATAAAATCCCCCATATTTTGACCTCCCAAATTAAAAAATTTTTACAGCTCAAGATAACTGCTGGGGTATTATCAATTAGTTTACTGTTCGCACTCTAGTCATGACCTAATTTTTTTCGCGAATGCAGCATTTAGTACATAAATTACATTCATTTATTTAATTGAAATTTTTATTAAATTATCTATTATTAACTGTTAAATACAATCCTAATAATTCAAATAAAATAATATTCCTATTTGTTTTATATAATTATTAATTGATTTAGCTAGATTTTGATAAAATAATATTTTATTATTAATTTGGATCAATAAATTATAAAAGGAAATGAACGAAAAAATATATTAAGAAAGCTCTAATATTTTCTGAATTTCAAGATTAGAGATCTGACTTTATAGTCCCCTTATTATTTAACTAGATGATTTTTAATGCCGCCCCCAGGAAATGTTCATCATTGCGACTGGTGTGGAAAAACTAATTGCAGAAAGCATTCGAAACAATGTGGAAATTGCGGTTTTGTAAAGAGTATAAGACAAAAGTATTGTAAAAGATGCGAAGAAATAGATAAATCAATAAAAGACAAAGTCAAAAACAGGTCTTAAATGATCCAAAACAGAAAAAAACAGGAGGAAAGAAAAAAAAAAAAAAAAAAGTAAACCTTATTTACTTTTGAGTTTAATTTAAAATAAACAATTTTAAATTTAAAAATTGCAGCCCTATAATAAATTAATTAGATAATGAAATATTATAAATACATTTTTAATCAAACGTTTGAATTTATTTTCAACAAAAATTTCATCAACAAAGCTTACTTCAATATAAAAAAAGCAATGATCTTGAATCTCAAATAATTTTAGAAGTTTAAATTTAAAATTTAGGTAATATTGACAAAAACATTATCAAATTGATTCATATCAACAAATGTTTCAATTAAAAAATTTGAATCAAAGCTAATTCCGACAAATGTTTATTAAAAATTTGATTCATTGCTAATTCCGGTTTAATAAATTATTTTTAAATTAATTATACAATTCATAAATTTAAATAAATTGAAATTTTCTTATGTTAATACAAAAAATAATACAAGTCAATTTTTTGAAAGAATGCTATATTTATTCACGAGTTGAACAGTCATTAAATGATGTGAGTATATTTTTAATGTGACTAACTCAAGATAATTCTATTTAATTAATCAGTATAACTGGCTTGTTAAAAGTGAGTTAGTCATCCCAATTGTTCACAATATTAGATTTATATGAATACAGCCTTGACTCTGAACGCGTTTTGGCGGCATACGCGTGCATCAATGGAAATATTAAACTTTATAATGTAACTTGTGATCTACAAAATAAAATTGTATCATCCATAAAATTTAAAGCTTTGCTTGATTCTAAGACGAATATTACTGACATTATTTATGATGGGCGTAAAAAAATTTCTGGTAGCGGGATGGTTTATAATATTCAAACCCGTAGTTATAAATTAGATCAATTTAGAAAGAAATTATTAAATAACTAGCGTTTTTAATGTATTTAAATTAGCAACATCAATCTTATCAGAGTCAAAAAGCTACCAAAGTCATCTTTAGTATTATACCATATAGTTATTACACCTTGAAAATTCATTTTACGTATTTCAATAGTAAATTTTATTCTTGTTATATACTTGGAAGTTAGTACAGAAATAACCATCTTATTTACTTCTAAAAGACCCATATTAATTTAATTTTAATAATGATGCACTAAAAATTATTCATAAAAATTTGGCCAAAAATTAACACTAAAATTCGAAATTTGGAATTATTTATTTTTTGATTT